TGTATTCGGGGAAAGTTCAGAAAATTTATCAGAGGGCCGGGGGATTTCGGAGCCTTATGAGAAGACCCGTTTCCTCTCACTTCCCCCTCGGGCTCTTCGACGACTAACGCAAAAAGGACGATGAGTAGGAGGAGGAGGAGGAGGAGGAGGAGGAGGATCGGGAGGATCAGGAGGATGATTCGGAGGACGAGGAGAAGGAAGAGGAGGAGGAGGAGGAGGAGGAGGAGGAGGAGGAGGAGGAGGAGGAGGAGGATGGCAGAGGAAGACGAGGAGGCGGCCGAGAAGACCGCACCGCCCCCGAGGATGCCGTCCAGGTCGTCCACTGGCTTCGGCAAGCTCCAGGAGGGGCCCCCCCCGGGCGTGTCGGTGCGCAGTCTTGCCTCGGCGGCTGCCGGGGTCGCAGGCAGAAGAGGGGATAATGATGATGATGATGAGGAGGAGGAGGAGGAGGAGGACGTCCATGCCGTCCTCCTGTCCGTGCACGACCACGTGCACAGTCAAGCCGCTGCATTCAGGTTCTAGGACTTCGAGAACACCCGCTCTTGGTCACGCGCCATGAGGGGATGAGGAGGATGATGAGGAGGAGGAGGATCTCGATTCCTCTTCGGCTTCCTCCCCGCACTTATGATTCATGTTCGTGGGTCGGTCTCCTCCTCTCACTCCTGCGCCAGCCTGGCTGGCGCAGCTCTGTGCCCCTGTGGGCCCGTTTTCTTTTTCTGTGCCTCTCGCGCCTTTACCCGTTTCGTGCTACGCCCGCCAGACATAATTTGTTGGCTTCGCGGTTTAAGTCGCCTTTTTCCATTCGAGCGTTATAGCCACTACGCTCAAGTTCGCCCAATTTTCAAAACAAGAGGGGCAGGAGGAGTATCCGGCACGCCCAGGGGGGAAGTAAGAGGAAGCGGGCCTTCTCATAAGATTCGTAATAGCATTGGCCTTCTGAGAGGTGGTCTGGGCCTTCCCCGAAAACGCCAGAAGCTTCTCGGAAGGCTGGGGGGCCTCCTCCTTCTCGTTTCTCCCCTTTGCTCGCCGCCGCGAGGAAGAGGGAAAACAGAATGAGGAGGAGGAAAAGGAGGAGTAGGAGGAGGAGGAGGAGGAGGAGGAGGAGAAGGAGGAGGAGGAGGAGGAGGAGGAGCAGCAGCATTCAGGAACCCGAGCGAACTTCAGAGGGTAATTCGCAGGGATGTGGAAGCGTCGAAGGGAAAGGGGGGAGGAAGAAGAGGAGAGAGGAGAAAGCGTAGGAATAGCAGGAGGAAGAGGAAGAAGCGGATGGACAGGACGTGAAGGGGGATGATGGAGATAAGATGTAGAGGCGGATGATCAGAAAGGCGGGTAATGAGAATAACAGTAGGATGATGATCAGTATTATGAGGAGGAGGAGGAGGAGGAGGAGGAGGAGGAGGAGGAGGACGAGGACGAGGAGGACGAGGAGGACGACGAGAAGGAGGAGGACGCCCATGCCGTCCTCCCGTCCGTGCGCGACCACGTGCACAGGCAAACCGCTGCTCTCAGGATCTGGGATTTGGAGGGCACCCGCTCTTGGTTACGCGCCAGGAGGAGGAAAAGGAAAAATAGAAGGAGGAGGAGGAGGAGGAGGACGCCCATGCCGTCCTCCCGTCCGTGCACGAAAACGTGCACCGGCAAGCCGCTGCTCTCAGGATCTAGTACTTGGAGGACACCCGCTCGTGGTTACGTGCCAGGATGAGGAGGAGGTGGAGAAGAGGAGGAGGAGGAGGAGCTCGATTCTTCTTGTTCGGATTCCTCCTTGTACTCATGATTCGTGTTCGTGGTTCGGTTTCCTCTCTCACTCCTGCACGGCCTGGCAGGCGTATGCTATGTGCCACTGTGGGCCTGGTTCTTTTTCCTTTGCCATTTGCGCCTTTCGCGTTCCTCTCTGCGCCCGCCAGGCGTAAGTGTTGGCTTCATGGCCTAAGTCGATTTCCGTTATTCCACGCGAGCGCTACAGCCGCGACGTTCCGACGTAAACGTTGCAAAACATCTCCTTTGATGGAGGCAGTCCTGAGATGCTTCCCTCCCCCCTTTCGGAGGCCCTCATTGGAATCTCCTCCACAGCCAGGTACTGAGAGGTAAGAGGAGGAGGAGGAGGAGGAGGAGGAGGAGGAGGAGGAGGAGGGGAGGAGGAGGGGGAGGGGGAGGGGGAGAGTGGGAGGGGGAGAAGGATGATGAGGAGGAGAAGCAGGAGCAGGAGCAGGAGCAGGTGAGGAGGAGGAGGGGAGGGAGGAGGAGGAGGAGGAGGGAAGGAGGAGGAGGAGGAGAAGGAGTATGAGGATAAAGGAGGAGGAGGAGGGACGGAGGAGGAGAGGAGGAAGACGAGGAGGAGGAGGAGGAGGAGGAGGAGGAGGAGCGATGGCGCGCCCAGGGGGAAATAAAAGAGGGCGGGCCTCCTCAGAAGGTTTGGAAGTCCACTGGCCTTCTGAGAAATTTTCTGAACCTTCTCCGAAAACACTGAAAACTTCTGAGAAGGCCGCGCGGCTCGCGAGAAGCCCCGCCGCCTTCTGAGAAGGCCTCCTCCTCACTCCCCCCCCCCCCCCCCCCCCCAGAGGAGGGAGGAGGAGGAGGAGGAGGAAGAGGAGGAGGCGGAGGAGGACGAGGAGGAGGAGGAGGAGGACAAGGAGGACGAGGAGGAGGAGGACGACGAGGAGGACGAGGAGGAGGACGAGGAGCAGGATGAGAATGATGACAAGAACCCAGCGGAGCGAACGTAAGAGGGGAAGTAGCAGAGGAGGAGGAGGAGGTGAAATAATAGGATGAGTAGGAGGAGGAAAAGGAGGAGGAGGAACAGGACGTCAAGTCGGAAAGTTGGATGATGAAGAGAAGATGTAGGAGAAGGAGGAGGTGGCGGAGAGGAAAGGTGGACAATGAGAAAAAGAGCAGGATGGTCACGAGGAGCAGGAGCATGAAAAGCAGGATGGGAAACATGGGGTGGCTCACTCGGAGGGGTTGTAACGAGCCCTAGTAGAACCATGTGGACCCGTTTCCATGGGGCCCACAGCCAGGTACTGAGAGGTAAGAGGAGGAGGAGGAGGAGGAGGAGGAGGAGGAGGAGGAGGAGGAGGAGGTGGAGGAGGAGGAGGGAGGAGGAGGAGGAGGGGGAGGGGGGAGGGGGAGGGGAGAGGGGAGGAGGGATGGGATGATGAGGAGGAGAAGGAGCAGGAGCAGGAGAAAGAGGAGGAGTCAGGAGGAGGCGGAGGAGGAGGAGGAAGGGGGAGACGCGGGAACGACACACAGACACATTTAATCGGCGATTCCCCGGAACATATGGAGAGTGTGTGCAGCGGAGCGGAAGACGGACATCCAGAACCGATTGAACATAATTGGAATTTTGGCATTTGTGTCTATTTATTCGCGTGTGTCCATGGGTTCCTTCGCCTACGCCGTACGTCGAGGAGCAACAAACGGCATGAACAGAAGTTGTTTGGGGTCCGCGCTGATTTCGTGCATCGGTGCTGAACCCTCCTCCCTGGCGCCAGGGGTGCACAACGCCGAACCAAGAAATCCGCGAGGAGGAACTGGTGGATCATCAGGAGGAGGCAGAGGAGGAGGAGGAGGAGGAGGAGGAGGAGGAGGAAGAGGAGGAGGAGGAAGAGGAGGAGGAGGAGGAGGAGGAGGAGGAAGAGAGGAAGAGGCGGCGGAGGAGGAGGAGGCGGAGGAGGAGGAGGAAGAGGAGGAGGAGGAGGAGGCGAGCAGGAAAGCCAGTGGCCTTTTGGATGCCTCGCGGAGTCTCTTCGGATGTCTTTCGAGAGCGTTCTGGAGTCCTCTTGGGATGTCTTGGGGGTCTCTTGGCAGTCCTGGGGGCCTCTTGGGATTATTCGGTGCCTATGGGTGGCCTCTTGGGGGTCTCCTCGGAGCCTCTTGGGAGCCTCCAGGGGGGCCCCTTGGGGGCCTACTGGGCTCCTCTTGGGGCCGTCTTGGGGCACCCTTAGGAGCTTCAGGGACGCTATCTTGGAGGAGATCGATCAAAAGAGGGGGGCTCCTCAATTAGGGCCCCCCCAGGAGGCCTAAATGTGGCCATGGCCAACACCCCTTAGTAAACTCAATGATGTTGGCCTTCTCGCCGAGGCCTTTTTGGATGCTCCAATTGCCCGCGACCCTCCCGTTCAGGTCAAGGGGGAGGGGATACGGGGGAGGGGTGCAGCCAGGTCGTTGAAATAAGGAACAGTTTGGGCCCAGAAGGGACTCGACGCTCCTTAGGGCCTTCCATGGCTGTTTCTTCAGCCCTCCGCTTGCACGCGGCCGCCCTTGGGGCCACAAAAGGGCTTCGTTCCTTATGTATCGTTCCTTCTTTCAGCAGCCCGATTGTAAATCCCTTCCCGAGGGGAGAAGGGGGGATGGACGAGGAAATTCTCTAGACCACTCACGTCCTAAAGGGCTGGTGGGATCATGGTCATGCAGTTGTTCGTCGCTCGACTGGCACCGAGCACGGAAAAGGCCAGGCCCCACGTTTATTTGGAAAGCCAGCGCTTGGGGAGAGATCGTTGAACACTGCCCCCCAGGGGTCCTCGGAAGTGATTGTCGCCACCAGCAGGAGGAGGGGGACGGGGAGGGGCAGGAGGAGAACGAGGAATAGGAGAAGGCTCGAGGGCTCGAGGCCAACGCGCACAAGTCTGTGACGAGCGGGCGGGCCGAACAGGAAGGGGGAGCACGGCCTGGCTACCAGCCAGGTAGAGCTCCTCGCATGGCACGGCCAAGCGGACAGTATTGGAGGGGGGCCGTCACATTTTGTCAGGCATTGGAGCGGCTTTGCATAGGCGGCACTCCTCCGCCCCTGGCAGGCCCCCCTCCCCAAAACTGAAAGCAAAACGAGTTGCATCAGTCCGATCCCGACTCCACCCCGAGGTCCCCACCCAGCTCCCCTCCAGACATGGCCGCCTCCTCCAATCGGAGGGCAGCGGCGACGCGAGCGGGAGCTTGCGGGCAGGACGGTGCTGCTGCACTGGCGGCGGCAGCAGGGGCGGTCGGGTCGACAGGCTGGGCAGCGCTGAGGGGTTCCAGTCGCTGCCCAGCCCGAGGATGGAGGCCGCGCGAAGCATATTTTATCTTCTGCGCCTAGCTCGATCGGGTACTCGCGTGGACACTGCGCCCGTTACATCGGAGGCTAAGTCCACGCCCACGCCCATCGGGCAATATCAAGTGAGCACTGCACAGGGAGCAATAAATCACTCGGCCCTCGCGCTCAACGGCGTGGCCGAGGTCTCTCCAGTGGCTATACGCCTCAGGCTGAGGTGGTGCAGGCACAGGAGCGGGCCCCAGGACAACACTGGCAAACGACGACGCTTCCTGCACCGCCTCCGACCTGACAGGCGTGGCATTGGCCCCGTGGGCCTGAAAGAACTCCTCTGCCTGAAACGCCTGCACTGCAGTGGGCTTGCAATCGCGCCGATTCCCTGACCGCAGCTGAAGCAGAGAGTCGTGGGTGCGCGCCCACAAATTACACTGCTTGCACCTCCACTCGCCCTTCGCAGGAAAGTGGAACAGTTCGTGCTGCACCAGCACGGCTTGAGGCGTATATTGGCGGCACGCTGGCTGGGCATCAGGGGTTGAGAGGTCCGATGAAAGCAAATCGATCGATTGGGCTAACCGACTCAGGAAGTCGAAGTCTTTCCTGATGTCGGCTAGATGCTGCTTCTGAGCATCGACTACAGAAGTGGCAACCGCGTGGCCCTCGGACCCCAACCTGGCGAAAACATCGGCCCAGAGGTTACCGAGGAAATCCTGAATTTCTTGGGCCGAGGAAAGGTCCAGGATATCGTCCCACTCTGTGTGGACTTTGATCCACTGGAAGGTGGGACGCGCCTGGCCACCCTGAAATAGATCAAAAATGCTGCGCCAGATGTCCGCGTGCAAGGCTTGGCCCGGCGCAAGGGCTGGGGGCCACTCCGTCCCTTCGCGCACGGCTGATACATGATCAGACACCACCTGGGCGTCTGGGGGGCCTCGCCGAAGGGCTTGGAGAATAGGCGCTCAGCCCGAGGCGCCGACTGGCGCCGCCCAGGGAGGGCCCCGAACACTGCGCGGATCGGGGGCCCTTGTGGGCCGAACTCCACCGCAGCAAATCCACGCCGTCTAAATTCTGGACTGGAGCTCGCCAGTCCCGAACCGTCGGTGCAAATGCGCCGCCCCCATGGCCCAAGGGCGAGACCCCAGGAATGGACGGGGGGCTCCGAGGGGGCTGGGGGAACCTTGCACCTCTGGAAGGGGAAACAGTAGGCGAGCTCAAGCGTGTCCCAGTCGGGGCCCCCAAGACCAGTCTCACCTCTCGCACGGAGCACACCTCTCCATTCCACGACGTCATCAGGATGACATGAATCAAACTGACGAGGGCAATCGAACACGGATTCGCAATCATAAATTTGGTGGCCCAGTGTCCCAGCGTGTTTCTTGCCACAAAACTGGCAGTCTGAGCAGTTGTTGTAACCAGCTGCTTTCCGACGGGCAGGAGGCCGCATCACTGGCCCCAGGACGCACCGCGCAGCCCCTTGGCGTTTCTGGCCCGAGATGTTCAGCACACCGTGACGAAGCCCCCTCACCCAGATCTCCTCGGAACCAGTCGCCTCTGGGACGTGCTGGAGCATGCGTCTGGCCTGCCGCCTAGCCATGCCGAGGCGCAGCGCAGCGCGCGCATCGCGCGGGCACTCGCGCAGCAGGTTGCGCACGTGCCCCTTCATCACTTTCGATAAGGTGGGCCGACCGCATGCACCAGCCCACTCGTCGCAACCTCAGCAAAACGGCTGAGACGGGACCTTTACAAACTTTCCAAGACTGGGCGTCTTGAACACGGCCCGAAATCTCAAGCCAGGCTCGCTGGAGCCGACCCAGGGAGATTCTGCCATCCCAAATCATGGAGCAGTATCTCAAAAGCAACGGAACGCAAGCGTCAAACACTGGATCGAAATACTGATCACGCTGCGTCATTAGCCGGTCAGTGAGGGAGCCTGACCGCTTAGCACCGACTAGCGAGCCAGCGAGCGTGCGTAAGGCCATGAGGGTGCTGTCGGTGGCGCCAGACACGCCCGCGCCGCGAGCGCCCGCTGGGGGCACACCCGCGCGCCAGAGGGCGGCGACCATACCAGGGGCTCCACGCTTTAGCGCGAGCAGCTTGCGCTTGCGAGACAGCACCCCCTTTAGCCGCCTGCGCTCCTGTGCGCGCAGCGGGCGGCCTGAAACAACCTCGTGGCCCAGGTTTCGCATGTGCCGTTGGCTTTTTCAAGCGGATGATTTTAGCCGTCGAGCCGATCTTGGCCGCAGCACGGGCCGTCGAGGCCACAACATCACTTTTGGCCACCTGCAAGATGAGACCACAACCGTAGGCCTTGCGGGAGAACCACTGGACGGCGGCCATCAAGGGCCCTGACTGCTTCAAATCCCTGCCTATCCACTGGAAGTTAGCGTCATCCATCAAGATGCGAGGTATGATGGGATAGAACACTTCGCAGCATCTCGCCACAACGCGATGCAAGAGAAGGTGCATCATCGTGTTGGCGTGACTACACCCAGCCAGGATCCCTTGGTTGGTGACCACGGGCAGGCCCAAATACCCGAACGCCTGGGCGACCCTGGGACAACGGTAAGAGCACAAGACCACCCAAAGCATACGCAAGGGATATTGGAGGGCACGTGCTTCTTCCAGCAAGTTGGCTACTATGATGCACTCATAGCATTCAATTAAACATATCGATCAGAACCGAAACTGAAAACTCCCCCACCGCACCAGCCACCTCCGCCTCGACATTATGAGCAAAGGCAGCATCGGAAGAGCCCCCAGCGGGCCCACTCCCCCAAACTGCGGGGCGTCGATTCCGAGCTTCCCAGTCTTGCGAGATCGGCCGACGCAGCCGTCCCCAGATACGAACTAGAGTGTTCAAAAGCGCGATGAGACGATGGCCTCCGGAGGGCTTGCTCAGCCTGACCAGCCGGGGCTGCACTCTGTTGCAAGGCCAGCAGAGAAGGCGCTCACAGGTGGCGCACAGCTGCGCGAGCGTCTCCAGCGCCACGTCGGAGCACACTTCGAGCGACCGCGGGTGCAGCTTCACCTGGCCCAGCGCCGTCGACTTGAAGCCTCGCAATGCTTCTCGAATCTGCTGGACCGAAAGAGGCTCGAGCAACTGCCACTCATGTGCGTCGGCGGGCGGCGGCACCTCTGAGCGGCCATGTAGGTTCCGTATGGTCTGCCACTCGTCTACGCCCTCGTCCACGCGCTCGAGCGGTTGGCACGCCTCACCCCTGTCATCGGCTACCTCCTGCAGCTCACGAATCTTGGAGTATCGGCGTGCCTTGCCAGCCCCCTTGACGAACGCATCTCGGGCCCACCTGGCCCAACTGGCCGAAGAGTCGTCCATGCCTGCAGCGATGCGCTCCTCCGCCAAGTCAATGAGCCTCTGCACCTCCGCGTCGAAATCGTCACGGCAGAAGCTGGCAATCGGGCCCTCGAAGAAGTCACATGCGTCTGTTGGAAGAAAGTCGCGGATCCACCTGCCACGTCGAACTCTCTTGAAACATCCAAACAGACCATACATCAACCGACTCATGCGCAGCAGGGTAGCCTCAGCCCCTAGCCAATACTCGATAACACCGTTGAGCTGATCCACGCACGACTTGATCTTAACTCGCACACTTCGAAGATGCCGTAGCCACTTGTTGAACGATCTCCATGCCGTGAGCGACTTGGGTTGGTAGGCGCTGACGCCTTCAGTTGCTGCCACTTGTACTGGAGGCCCAGCGTTGCCGTGATGTTGGCGACGCTCTGCTTCAACTCGCACACCGTGCCTCACGAGCAGCTCAGCTTCCAGGCCAATCAGCACTTCGCCCCAGCACTCGGCCAAGCTCTCGGCTGAGTCAGCATCACGAAGCCGCTGTTGCACTTGCAACCATTCACGTACAGGCGGGAATGGCGAACACCCAACAGGCGGCTCTGCTGGTAACGGCTTGGGCTCAATGGGCACACGACAGCACATCGCACGTGGCTTGCCCGTCACCGCCGCCACCACAGACGAGCACGGGAAGGTGTTGGCAGCGCTATCAGCCGACGGGGCGCTCATACGGTAAGAGAAGCCTTCCGGAGCATAGAACCAATCACGGTGGGCCCCAGGCGCAGCTTGGATACATGTGGGCTCGATACTGCTGTGACGAATACCCTTCAAGCCGACGAACCAATCATCGATGCCACAGTCAGGGTCCATGTTCCAGTCGGCGCCTATGATCCACTCCTGGCCTACCACGTTCAACTTGGTAATGTACTTCGTGATCACGGTGAGCAGCTTCAAATTCTCACCCCTGTGAGCCCGATGCCGACTGACGAGATAAGCCGAGATGCAGACCACACCATTTGCCATAGCCCAGTGGGCCTTGGCCGCCACCGCCGCACGCCCAGGGTATAGCATGGGATCCTTGAGCATGGGGGGCATCGTCAGCAGCACGTGTTGTGGGGCCAGCACAGCTACCCCACCTGCTGCACCTCCACGACCTCTGGAAACTGACGGAGCCCAAATGCCACACATGTTCACGTTTTTGCAGCTGTGCTGGACGTCGGGGAGCTTCGACTTGTCACAGTGATGCTCCTGGACCAGCACAACTCCTCGACTGTAATCAGGAACGCTCAACAGCTTGACCAGCGGACCATGAGACGATGTATTGATCGTGCAAACTGAGCTAGAACGGACATGCTTGCTTTTAGACTGGCCCCCGAGGTTCCCCGCATCACGGTCTATTTCATCCACTGTACGACTTGAACCTTCGGGACCCTTCTGACACTCGAAATCACCGAACTTCTGGTCTGAGCCTGGATAACACTGGAAGGCGGGCACACGGCTGATCAGACGCCGCACTCCCTCATCCACAGGATCGGTAGCCACGCACTGAGAGCACTGAAGCGAAGCTATCAACCAGAACACCACGTGTTTCGCGGCTGTCAAAGCCACTGTCGGTCGGTACTCTCTGCCCCAAGATTCCCGCATGGCATCGCTGCCAAGCCGCGGGCGAGTGGGGT